ACATTTATATGGATATAAAATTGAAAAATATGGACATAAAATATGGATATAAAATCCTAAAATATGGATATAAATATGGAAATAAATACTAAATATGGATATAAAATCCCGAAATATGGATCAAAATATGATGAAAAAATATTTCAGAAATCAGTATTTTATGTAGAAAACAATAATTTGATCTTTAACTTTGCATTTTAAGAGCATACTAAAAGATTTTATTGATTTAAAATTTTTGTTTAATTTTTTTTCGAAAATAAATTTTTACGAAAAATTTTTGAAATGAATTTTTATTCAAAAATTTCCAAAATTTTGAAAATTTTCGCCAATTTTTACTAAAATTTACCAAAAAAGTCCAAATATGGACCAAAATATTCAACAAAGGAGAAATAGTGATATAAAATATGGATATAAAGGCTAAATATGGAAAAATATGGAAAATATGGGCATAGTGCCAAAATATGGAAAAATATGGAAAATATGGATTTACAGACCATCCCAGAAACCCTAAAACAAGCCAAAAACATGTTTTTCGTGCATTTCACAGTCATAGGAATTCAGGAAAAAAATATGGATTTCCATATAAATGTACACCCTAATTATTAGAGTAAATACGGTATGTTGGATCATTAAGTTATTTTGAATCTGGAAAATCTGCGAGGCAATACATAAATCAGAGAGTAAAATTTTGTGAATAAGCTGAAAGCGTTATATCTAAAAATATAACGCTCACGAGATATATTAATTCTCAGGAATTAATGGGGATTTGGAGTGACTAATGGGTATATCTGGGAATATAAGTGATTTTGCAGAGATAAAGTGGATTTGAAGGGAATAAATGTTTCCCTGAAGATAAGAGTGGCTTTAGAGGTATTAAGGGTAAAAAGGATGCAAGGATGTTTAAAAGGATGAAAGTAATTTTGAGGGTTAAGTATGGAGATTATGGATTTGAAGCAAATAATGGTAGATAACAAGAGATTTGTAAGGTTCCTTCTTTAATCAACTTAATATATTACTTCAAACAGCCGCACTTTAAGCAGTTGCACTTTAAAATTTTAGGAGATCAGGCAGCAGATTTTGTACTTTAATGCGTCGCAGGTGGAAATTGAGCATTTTGGAAGCAAAAAGCCAGATTTGTTCATTTTGAGGACCGCAAGCGAAAACAATGTGAATTCTTATTCTTTAATCTTTAATCGACAGATATCGTCCAAAAATAATGTTCATGCAAAACTACCGAAATCCGTGCGAATTCATCTGAATCCATTCAAATCCGCCGAACCCCATTTAAACCCCCGATTTTCCTCCGAATCCATACCACCATATATCACCTTTAAACTACTGTTATCCCTACAAATCCCCATATATCCATCTTAATTCCCATATAACCCAAGCAATTCCCATATAACCCCCAGATATCACTTTTAATCCCCAAATAATAAAAAAAACACCGCAAAATCCAAACAAACCAAAATACAAACTTAAAGTTATATTCGATAAATGCTTAAAAAACCCATAGTTAGTACTGTGAAAAGATTCTTAATTTAAAGACGCTACACAAATAATTGATCAAAAATAACCTTTAGCACCAGCGGCAAAATTTGAAAAAAATGGTGTTAAATAGCTTTTCACCATTTTCTAACCAAAAAAATGTATTTTTGGAAAATCTAATAATTTCCAAATTATTTGATCTAATACATCATCAAACAAGTATTTGTGCAAACAAAATCAAAAAAAATGATCAAATATTTGATGTTCTCTCTAGCGGCATTGAGAATTTTATGTATCTTTGGTGCATGATTTACTAAAAACGTTGCCCTTCGTACCCTATATCAACAAAGCAAATCGTTTTTTATTTATCGGAAATTTGTAAAAATATCGAAAGCAAATCGCAAATTTGTCTTAATAGTTTAGCAAGATAACATGTATTAATTGGATAATGTGTGTTTGGAAAATTCAAAAGGAAATTATGTGCTCTGTGGATTGTTTGTAGGATCTAGACGGCATAGGTGAGATATGGGCGGATTTGAGGGGATAAATTTCAATGAGTGAAAAAGTGCAGACATGCACTGTAAAAATTTTTTTGGACGAAACAAAACTTAAAATTTTTTAAAAACGTTCAGTATCGAAAGAAACACAACTCTTAATTTAAATTTAGAAAAACAAGACAAAACAATTTAAATTGCAAAAATTTTTTTGATAGCTTTAAGTTTTACTTCTGCTTTTTAAGCTCGCATTTTTTGGCCCCGAAGTCCTAAAACAGCAATTTTCCAAATTCTTAAAAACGAAAAAATAGGCTATAATTAGTGCCAAAACGCCTTGCAACGAAAAAAAAAGAAAATAAATGGAGTTTTTGCAAACGCTACTCTGATACTATTTAATCCCTATTTATATTTTAATATTTAAGATTTGCAAAATTATCCCCAACTTCATAGTGGTCAAATTACTGAGTGGAGTAATCAGTTAAATGAACCTGGGCATCCGTCTTCAAGTCAAAGTCCTTGGAATCAACCATTTGATAATGAACATTATCCTTCGAGTTATGGTCATTGGCCAAACCCTTTGGTTTATGATCATTATAATCAACATGACACCTCGATTCAACAAAATTGTACATGGGATTGGATCAATAATCCCTCATCATCTACAACACATGATGAACATTATGGCGGTAATTACAACTATCAAAATCAATTACATATAATTCTTATTCTATGTCCACATAATTTTCATCATATTCAAGGTGGTCAAGGTCAAAATACAATGTCACTGAATCATCCTAGTAATCCGGTTTAAAACCAACAAACTACTTTTAAATGGGATCATTGTTTTCAACAAAATCCGAGTTATGGTCATTGGCCAAACCCTTCGGGTTATGATTATTATAATCAACACACTACGAGTCAACAAAATCCTTCGGGTCAACAGATTATTTTGGATTGGATGAACAATGCCTCATTATCTACACACAATGAGAATTATAGCGGTAATTACAACAATTAAAATCAATTATATATACATATTTCTTATTTTAGGTCCACATAATTTTCATCAGATTCAAAGTGGGCAAGGTCAAAATACAACGTGGGGGTATCCGTTGAATTACCCTTTGAATCAGTCTTTTCGTCATCCAAATGATTTAAATCAAATACAAAGTGATCAAATTCAAAATACAATGTCGGGTGACCATTTGAACGATCCTGCGGATCCGCCTTCTTCTCAAAATCCAGTGGATCAACAAAATCCACGGGATTGGAATCGTTTTTAGTAAAACATCTTTAAGGGTAAACGATAAACTTTTTGTTTTATCCACTGAGTATGTATAACAATTTTAATTCGAAACTATCTTTATGTACTTTATTCCATTTTTTCTAGGGTTTATTTCTAATTGTAAGTATTTTTAAAAATTATTTTAGATTTTCATTCATTTATTATATTTTTGGGTTGACATTAATCCATGTTTAGAAATTAAATTCTAGGCGATTGTAAGGGATAATACATATTCCGTTATGTATCCCTTCCTTTATAATTTAAATTTTACTATTTTATTTTTCTTCATTGTCTTATTTCTCCTGTTAGTTATAGTTAACCAATGTCACATTTTAACGAAAAAATTATTATTGTTAAGCATCTAAAAATGATCTTTTTCATATTTTTGGGTTGTTATCGGGGCTGGGTTATTATTATTTAATTTTTGTAGCTATTCTTTAAATTCGGCAAAGCACAGTGATTTAGCTCCGGTCGGTGCTAAAGAGCACTATGAGTTTGGAGTTAATTAGTTATTTTTGTGGTTGGTTGTTCACGACCTGTTTTAAAACCGAAATTTTTGTTATTTTTTGCCAAAAATTAACCGTTTTTACAAAATTTAGACTTATGAAAATGTGTGATTTTTAAAAAATTCCCCCAAAATAAAACCGGCATTTGTTAAAACTCAAAACCGAAGACCGGATTTTAAAATTTGGATTATCGAAAATACGGGGGTACCAGCTAATGACCGGTAGTGAACAACCCTAGTTAAAATTTTCAGGGTTATTTTACTGGGGTCTTATCTAATTTGGTATTATGTAAAAATTCAATTTTATTACTAAATAGAGAGAGGAATTTGATTTTATTAAAAAGTTTTTTCGATTTAAAATTTAATTACCTATATAAAAAATCATGGTTAAAATTTTTTTTGGATTTTTTTCATAAATTCCGCTCTCTATTCATTTTTTTAAATTTTATTTTTAAATTGTAGTTTATTAAATTTAACAAGTAGATATTTTTTATTAACAAAGATAAATTAGCTATGTAGATTTGTTACTATTTATTGATAGACGTAGTCCAGCTTCGCAAAACCCCGGTAACATAAAACATCTTTACGACCGTGGACCGACCCCCGTAGATATAGTCGGAGTAACATATGTATCTCGGAGTAACATATTTCACCTCAATTTGTTCAACTCCACCATTTTTTGTTCATTCTTTGTTTAAAAACCTTAAAAATTGTGACGGATTAATGATAGATCCAAGGTGAACATTTAGGATAATTTGGGGAACGATGTTTGGAATAGTGTTGGGAAAGAAATGTTGAATCGAATATGTTTGATAGTTTAGAAATGTTGATTAAGTATTATTATCATAAATTTACAAATTATTATCATAAATTTAAAAAATAAACTATGCTTATTACAACTTTATGCATAGGATAAAATTTTATTCTTGTGCTCATCAGCCTAATCAAATTTTGGACAAACCTGGACATAATAAACAGGCATTTTATGCAAAATATACAAAATGACAACAATTATCTAGTGTAAAATATGTTCTATGTATGTATCGGAGGTGGGTCAGATTCCAATTTCCGATTTCCGACGTTTTATTCCTTCCGATTTCCAAAAAAAATTTGATTTCCGAATTCCGACTTTTGAGTCAGTTCCGATTTCCGGCTCTTTCGATTTCCGACACCTATGACTGTTCCGACCCACCTCTGCTTTTATAACATATAAACTATACTTCTATTGTTATTTTTTAATTAAAGTAACATCTTTCTCACTATAAAGACAATTCTTTCCATCAGGCCCAGTTCCGCTAGATTTTGCCTCACCACCAGTAACCCCGTTAAAACGTTTACAAATATGAACACCAGGAGTGTTATATTTAATTCCACTTAATTTGGCAGTATCTCCATAATTTGAATTTATTCCGACAATAAATTGGCCAGGAGTGCCATTAATTGCTGTCAGATTAGAAATGACTACGTGGCGTTGATATTGTGTTTTACAATTTCCACAACAACGAAATAGGCGGACATAATTTTCTACCTTTTAAAGCAAAAAAATTTTTCTTAAAAATACATTTTTTACATAATAATCTTCAATAAATGCAGTTCCCATTCCATCAAATTGAAAAACTTTGTCTTTCGCATTTCGTGCACCACCGCCTTTTACGCGATAAATTGAATTTTTATTTTTACCTTAATTTAAGAAAACTTTATTTGGTAAAAATGTTTATTCCGTTTATTATAGTGTAGCATTCCGAGTCTTCGGGGGCGGGATCGTCAAGGAATGGGAGTTGCCGTGGTAGAGTCTTTAGTGTTCGGGTCGGAGGTTTTCCCAAAAAAATGGTTTTGGAGGTCGGGCCGGGGTGGTGGGGGTGGGACGGGTGTGGTGCGGGTGGGATGGGGTGCTACACTAGTTTAAAAAGTCGATAGTTCCGCGATTCTGCGTAACCATCTGTGGATGGTTCCGTTTGTTTTGGCCGGAACCGCGGTTTCTTGAATTGATCTAGTAACGATAATCGCCTAAACTTTGGTTAAGAATTAAGATGTCTTCCTAATCTAGGCCTCAATATTAGCGGGATTCCTTTTAAGATCGTGCCTTAATAATGATTAAAAATTTTTTACCATAAAAAGTAATAGCGTCTTCCCCGACAGACTCAAACCAAACATCGTTTATATTACAGCTGCCCATACATCTAATTCCGTCAGCAGAGCCTTTAGCGCCAGACTTTATCCCAATTATACAATTTGACAATGTAGCACCATCTTTTAATTCAAAAACACGTTTTTGCCCCTCTTTTTGACTTCCATCCCCAAGTTTACTTGGATCAGGAATATAACGGTCAAAATTACAGTCAAATGATCCTTCGACCATTTTTGTTGTAGTTAACTGTAGTTTATGAATCTTATTTAAATTTAACTCGGCATCTAAATTCAATTTAGACTATGTTTTGTGGACCGAAATTTTTATTACAAGTATTGCGGGTGATGGAAGAATCTCGAGATGTAATTTTTGAGAAGGGGGAAGAACTTATTTTAGATTTTGGGAATTTTGAGGGTCAAGAATCCAGAAGTTTAGTTTTCTTATTTTCCAAACTTGGCTTTAGCTGGACAAGAATTTTTAAAGTTAGAGGTCTGAAAGTTAATCTGGGGCTGTACTTTTACGTTATACTGATTATACGCAAACTGGGGTGTGTATAATTAGTTGACAGAGAGTAACTAAATTCAGGTTTAATTTCTTAAAACTTACAATTATGTCATTTTTTGCTTTAGGCCATGCTTCGCATAAAAACCAAAAAGCAGAAAACAAAACAAATTTAAAAATAAAGCTAATTATAAAAATCATTTTTTAATCTATAATAAATGACAGTAAATTAACAGTATTAAATTAATTAAATCAGACATTAAATTGAGAGTGAATAAAAGTGGGTATCAGATAAGCTGCATCTGATTAGAATTATACACAAATTTGACGTTAATTTGAGGGTGAAATTACAATTATGTCGATATTATACATAATAGAGCTCCGTTTGTAATGAAGTGAAAATATTAAAAAATATTATTTTTTGATCTTCACATCAGAGGTGAGTCGGAACATTCAGAGGTGTCGGAAATTGGAAGAGCAGAAAATCGGAACTGGCTCAAAAGTCGGAAATCAGAAATCAAAATTTTTTTCGGAAATCGGAAGGGAATCGGAAGCTGCGCATTTCACCTAGTATACAATAAACTTAGAAACTCAACTTAACTTTAGGAAGGTATTCAAAAGTTCCTCCCATCTCAGCAAATAAAACAAAAATGAAAACGTTCATTCTGTGAAGGGATGGCTGAACGGCTAGAAACATTTGCTATTTTCTGAGATAAGTTCAGCCGCTTTACTATATTATAGGGAGGTAATTAAACTACTATTAACGCACTTTTTTAATAATAAAAATTTATAATTTCTCTCATTTTATATTCCAAAATTTACTTGTCTGTTTAAATAAAATAAAGAAAAAAATTAAATATATTTAATTGAGACAAAAAATTATTTAAGTAAAAAGTACAATTATAAGAGAGAATTCCCTGAAATTTGTTTAAAATTTGTACTTTCTATTTGATCATGGTTGAAAAAATTATTTAGGTTCCAGACAAAAAACTTTTGATTATTTTTTAGAAAATAATGAATAAGATTATATAATGGCATTTAAACTAAAATTTTCGTTTTAGAAAATTTTTTTGAGGATAAAAGCTTCCAGATTTACCCAGGGATGATGAGATGAAAATAAATAAATAAAAATATTTCAAAAATTGTTAAACAACTTTTAACACATTTTAATTATTTTGGATAGAATTTCAAAACTCGGAGTAATCACTGTGCACTTTATAGAGGTCCAAATGCAAGAGCAAAAATAAAATTAAAGCGATATTTGAGAATATTTTAATGATACTTTACCTAGCTGTACTATTTTAAATGCTTAAGTGGGAGTCAGATGATCTTAAGGAGAAAAGAGAAACGTTAGTTGTCGGCCCGGTATTTAGGTGGTAGTAACCTCATAGGGGTATTTAGTCACCTTGTCATTGGCCTCTAGCTCAGTGGTTTATGGCGTAATTACTGGAAAAGAGTTTATAACAGATAATTAAATAAAAATTTAAAAAATATAAATTTATGAAAAATTGTTTTTAAATAAAAATTTCTAATGAAATAAAGAATACGAATTGATTAATAAACAATTAATAAAAACAATTAAAAACTTTTTAAATCTGATATTCTGAAAACGATTTCTTAATCGTCGCTTCAAATTGTTTACATAAAATATAATAAATTTGACATTATCTCCTTTTACATTTTGTTGTCAATAATTATTCGATATTGAAAAATTATATAAAAAACTAAAAATTTTTTAAAAGAGCTATGAATTTTTGTTTAAAATTTTTTAAATATAATAAAATTGTGGTAAATCTGCTACTTGATTTTAAAAGATTTTTTTATAAATTTTATTTTTGTGTAAAATAAAAATAATCAAATTTAATTCTCTGGCAGCTTTTCTTGAGCCGATCGGATTAGTTAACAATGTGGAGATAAGAGATCTCAAATCAAAAAACAATTTTTTTTTAATTTCAAAATTGAATTTAAAAAAATTTCATTGGAATACGACCATGTCCAAAAGTATCGTAATAATAAAATCTACATTCATTTTAGTTAACATTTAAATTTAAGTAATTAAAAATTATTACTATTAATCATATTTAATTTATTAAAAAAAATTTTCACATTAATGATATTTTAATAAAAATAAATTTAATAAAAATAAATTGAAGGACTTTCGCATAATACAATTTTTCTCAATTTTAAATCGAATTTTACTAAAATTAGGATTGGGTCCGAAATATTTTTAAATTTTATAGCATTGAGATCTATTTCCTCCAACGACGTTTCCGTTCTTATTTGAGCTCAGCCGTGATCCCAAGTTATCGTAATAATAAAATCCACAGCCATTTTAGTTAGCTGCATTTAAATTTAAGTAATTAAAAATTATATTATTAATCATACATAATTTATTAAAAAAATTTTTTCACATAACTGATATTTTAATAAAAATAAATTTAAAAGTTGATAGTCATCATAACCAACGATAATTTTCAAATATTTTATAAACACTGGGAAAATTGAAAAATTAAATTATAACTTTACTTTTTAATTATTTTTAAAATTAAATAAATTTTTATTTCAAATTTTTTAGAATTAAAAATTCTAAAATGGATTTTAATAATTATTTTGTCGCGGTTTTGGAATTTTTTGTGTTAATGGTAAAATAAATATTTTAAATTAATGAACTTAAACAATTAAATTAACATAAATTTTGAAGTAGAACCTCTGTTTAAATTAAGCTCCATTTTAAAGACTGCCGAAATTTTAAACCCAAAAAGCTTTATTGCTTTTAATTTAAAAACAAATTTGGAAAGTTATATTGTATTACTTGTTAAAATCAATCTATTTATGGATACATTGGATTTTAGAAGTTAAAAACATAGGATTTAAACAGATAGGAGTTGGTTGTAACTAGAAATAAAACATGGGATCTGTTGGAGTTAAGGATCTTTAATAGAATATATCTAAAAGTAAAACTTGACAAGCACCGATAGCAAGGTTTCATGTTAAACTACTGTTCCGGAAAAGCATTTCCTAAAATTTATTATCAAAAAATTATTTTTTAATTTAGTTGGCATCTGCTAACAAGCTGAGTCATATAAGATTTAAAGAAGAATTTGAAAAGTCTTCTAAGAAGGAATCTGGATATTTTTGCAAGAAATATACAGATTATAAATATTGTGGTTGTGTGTATAACGGCAAAATCCCTTCGGCTTTTATCTTCCCAAACTATGATACTGATAATGAAAATGAATTTTTTAAATTGGCAACGGTATTTTAATCTATAAGTAATGCTAACTTATGAATTTTTAGTTGCCTGTTTGCGGTAATGAGTACTTCAACCAGATTAAACGTTGCGCAATTGTATATAAATTATTAAAATTAATCTTAAAAATATAATAAAAATTATAAAAATTATAAAAATAATAAAAAAATAAAATAAAAAATAATAAAAAAATTAAATAATAATATGACATTCTCACAAACCTGCCCTGTGGTCAACATAGTGTTCGGCACAGTTTACTCCCGAAAATACCAAGTCGGTATTTTACGGACTACCGATACCGGAACCGGCCCAAACAGATTTTGGAAATTTCGGTACTTGTCAGTATCGGAACTTTTCGGTACCCCCGATAACGAGGATTATATATTTTTGATAAAAACCGAAATTTCGGCTCCATAATCGCAGTATTTTCTTTGCGTTTTGAATATTTAGCTTATTAATATTTTTAGATTTATCTTTAAATTTTTAAAAATATAGGTGCTCATGTCCAAGTCACAAAAAATAAAACAAAAAGTTGTCCTATGGGACCAAAAAATTTTTGGCGTCTAATAAACTTCTGATCTGAGTTTTGGGGTCGTCTTGGGTCTTGGGGTGTTGTCTTGGTCTTGACTTGAAAAATTTTCAGTCTTGGACATCTCTAATGAATAAGACAGACTATTTAATAGCAGTCAAAACATAAAATTTTCATTTCAGACCAATTTCTATGAAGATCAGAAGCCTCTGAATGCCCCAAAGAATGATAAATATAATAGTAAATAAGTATAATAATTAAAATTGTGATTTTTATGCAAATGCACATGTATAATGCACAAAAAAGAGTTTCCGCTTGGTTTGAAAACTTTATAGGGGATTCTATTTGCATATAATGGAACAAAAATGCAAATTTTAATGCGAATTTTGAGGGTTTTAGGGAAAATATCAAGAAAATTGCCCAAAATCCTGACATAATTGTGTAAATTTTGTAAAAATTTACGAAAAAGAAATCAAATTATCTTAAGAAAATACGTTTTGAATGTTTTTGACTAAAAAATGTAAATTTCTAGGTAGAAATCGTATTTTTCTTAAGTAATTTCTTGCATATTTTTGTGCATACTATTTTGCATTTTTTAATGCATAAAAATCACAAATCTAATAATAATACTAATAATAATATTTAAATAATATTAAAGCAATTTAAAGGGATGTTAATTCTTTTGGATGGATGTGCGAGTTGTTCAAAAGGTGGGACGATCACTGAACTTCGAGTTACCCATTTTGAAGAAGATCGTGGCTTCTTCTCGATGTACCGATAAGAAAAAGAATTTGAGGCGTTCAGAATTGCTGATATATTAATAAATATTGGTGGAAGTAAGTTAAAAATTCAGGATCATTTACAGTTACGTTATTCTTAGTCATCGTCGTGTAATAACGTCTCCTGAATGAATACACTTCTTATAAATACGTTGATATCAAACTTCATACA